TAAAGCTATATATCCTGTGAACCACTGAGGGAAGTTTGAGGTTTAAAGATGGTTGATAGGTTGGTTGTGTAACTAGCTTATATATAGATTTAAAAAGTACACATATCATTTAAAAGATTGCTTTTTCTATTTTTATTATTTTGATTATGAATTTGAAGATTGAGATTATATCAATGTTTTAAAAAGTTTATTATGACTTGGTAAAAGCTTTCACAAAATACCCTCTTAAATCAATATATATATATATATATATATATATATATATATATATATATATATATATATATATATATATATATATATATATATATATATATATATATATATATATGAAAAAGTGAATATACCCTTAAGGGTATATACGCTTAGGTACTTAAAGTCACCATAATACATCTTTTTATTTGATATATTTATTATAATGTTCTTCAACTTCAATCCTTAACTTGATTTACTTTCAAAATTTTCAAAATTTCATTATTATGTTCTTCTTACATCACATCTTTTTAACGAACATCAATTAGACTATATATATTATAGTTGAAAATGAAAATTATGTAAGAGAAAAATAAATATGAAATTTATAAAAATCTTTCAATGAAATCAAGTTAGAAGTTGAATTATAAGAACATTAGATAATTATAATGTATATATGATACAAAATGCGTAAGATAGTGAGTTTGGATACTTAAGCTTATATACCCTTAAGGGTATATTCACTTTTCCCATATATATATATATATATATATATATATATATATATATATATATATATATATATATTATATATATATATATATATATATATATATATATATATTATATAAAATTGTCGTTTTAATTTACGCTTTATAAATGTTGTGGTTGTCACAACTTAAAAAAGTTTAAGGTTTGATATTACCGTCAAGTCAAGACTTATGTTATTTAGAGCAACGAATTATATTTATAAAAACATATAACAAAAATTGGTTTTTATAAATCCTACATCTTATTTGACATGAGCTTTAACACTTGTGAAGTCAATGAAATGGGAAGTCTAGCTATTATTCAATAGATAAAACTTTATTATTATGAGATGTAACATTGACATGTGAATAAAATAAAACTTTATTATTATGAGATGTAACATTGACCTGTGAATAAAATAAAACTTTATTATTATGAGATATAACATTGATCTTCAATGAACTTGAAATTCATTTACTATTGCACTCTCTAATAAGAAAAATAAATATACTTTTCTAATTCGTAAATATATACTATATATTATTGTTTTTGTAATATAGATTAGCATTGTAAAAAATATTATAGAGTTTTTTTGACTGTAAAAAACGATGTAACAATTCACTCAATAGAGTTCAATATATTTTAAATGTTGTTATTTGAATATATATTCTTAGGGATAACCTTATTAAATTTTTATGTTTTGGTGTCATAATTAATTTAATCTTTACATATTATTTTTATACATTTAAGTCCAAGCAAGTGAAAATTTTATTCAATTTAACCATTTTACATTGTTAACAACCCATCTAACTTTGAAAATTTATATTTTGCCCATATTTTCAGCTTTATTACCAAATTTTGTCCAAAGTTTATACTTTTGACAAATTAATTAGATTTTTTTAAAACCTTTACTTTTAAAAAAAATGTTAAATATGATTTTTTGCTGTAGAAAATCATATTTATATAAAATCATATTCACTTAAAACTTTTTCTATATAAAAACATTTTTTAAATAACATTTTTGTATGTAATATATATATATATATATATATATATATATATATATATATATATATATATATATATATATATTTATAAAAACGTGTATCTATACATAAATATATAAAATATGTTTACTATCAAATATTTGTTTACATATATATATATATATATATATATATATATATATATATATATATATATGAATACATGAATTTTATATATATTTATGTATTTATATGCAGACACAAGTTTGTTATGTATTTAATAAATACCTATTTTGTTAAAGTTTTTTTACGGAATATATGAGTATAATAACTTATTTTATATAAGTGTATTTCACGCAATTTTGCATAACTACGCTATTAAAAATAGGTATTTAGAATAAAATTGTTATTATAAAAAGGTATTCTGCGTACAATTTGTTATTTTTTTAAACGCGTTTAAAAAAATGGTTTTTGTATAGGTATTTTGCATACAAAAGTCTTTTTAAAAAAAAGGTTTAAAAAAAGATGTAAACAACCAAAATTAAGTTGATTTTGTAAAAGAAATTGAAAACTGGGCCAAAGTTTAAATTTTAGACAAAATTTTTAATAAAATTTAAAATATAGGCCAAATTTATAAATTTCAAAAGTTGGATGATATGCTAACCGAGTAAAAGAGTTAATGAAAATATATATAAAATTAAATCGATTATTAGACCAAAACATAAAGATTTTTATGGATTTTTTCTTAAATTCTTATTTACCTTACCAAATGCTATAGATCTTTAAGTAAATGCTTTCAAGTAAAATTTTGTTTAAATTTGTTTGATATAAATTCAAAAATAATACTCGGATATTTTGGATGCTCATCATTGATGCCTAAATCAACTATGACAAAAATTGATGTGTTGAATATAAGAATTGTTAATAAAATGATGATATAGGATTGAAATTTTATCAAACCTATGTGAAGAACATGGGCAAAATGGGCATAGGCACAAGGCCCACTATTTTATGGGGCCCAAATTTTTTAATATTATATTCATATCACTATATCAGGTGATTGATAGATGAGTCCAAGTCCAGTTGACGAGGATATGCAGAACGTGAGAAAAAGTGAGAATGCAGCATAGAAGTCTGAAGCGATTGTCATTGTCGATTCCCGATCAATTGATCATTGATCATTCAACTAGCATAACCATTGAGGTTTGGAATTACTCTCTGTTAATCTGTTACTTGTTAATCTGTTACTAATCAGGTAAGTGTGTGTGTGTGTGTGTGTGTATATATATATATATATATATATATATATATATATATATATATCTTCTTTTTTGGTGGTCATATAGTCTGCAGCCATCTCTCTTTCTCTTTCTCTCTCTATCTCTTTCTCCGTCTCTCTGTCTCTGTCTCTCTCTCTCTCTCTCTCTCTCTCTCTATCTCTCTCACTCCCTCTTTGTAGAACTAGAAGACAAACACTACTAATTTACAAACATTCTGAAAATAGAAGTTGATTTTAACAATTTTAAATGATTTTTTCTGTCGATTATCACATAATCAACTTCTTCTTGATGGATTGTCGGTGGTTTCTACTAATTGCCTCTTCTATTTCCTTAAGTTTCTCACCCTTATTTCTCATACTCTCTCCATGGATTAAACTTTAAATGGTCGATGTTTACTCCCAATTTCTGTTGTTTCTTCTCCCTTTTAGCATGAAAGTTTCAAGTTTTGATGCTCGTCTACATTTTAGGTAATCATCTGTATGTTAAATGGATAATTTAAGATTCTTGTGTTTCATAATTTTATGAATGATATTTTAATTTTTTTTTGTTTTATGCCTATATAGGAAGGCATTGTAGATGCTAGGTTTCTTATGTTCCTAGACCACCTAGTCTTATAATAGCTCAAATGGAACCAAAGGTCAAAAGGTCAAAATGGCACCAAAGGTCATAAAGGTCAACTGGTCAAGTACTGTTACTTTTCACATGTACCTTATGTATTGTATATTGATAGGAAATAATTGACATACCTTTTATGGGCTTTACATGCAATAATGTGGATAAATCATTATACTCTTAAGGGTACATGTAACCTATTAGATTTAGTCATAACTCTATTGAAGTAACATTCTCTTGAACAACAAGAACCCTATAATCCTAGGTAATTTAAAAAATTAAAGAAGGAAACATACCTTTTAATTGTTGTAGTAAACACTGAAACAATCCTTCTTATAGTTTCTTGGAAACTAGCACCAGAAATCTCATGCGTCTGATGGTTTACATCTAGCATCCCAATTTTCAAGATAAAAAATTTCATTTTGATAAAACAATTTACAAAAAACAATCATAATAAAACATCATCGAGTCACATCATTTCATGAAAACCATAACCACATTTCTAAAAACCATATCATAAAAATAGTAACAATGTCAGAGTACAATCCCAAGAATCTCGTAATACGGAAATCCTGTATGCGTGATGCGCTGCTACCGTGCCAATTCCTTCCCCTTCGATGAAGAGGTACCTGAAAAAAAAAGTTAAAACTGTAAGCACGAAGCTTAGTGAGTTCCCCCACCATAACACATACAACATAACAAACATACTACCAGGCAATTATGGGGTGCCCGACCTACCCTGTCAGGCAATTTTGGGGTGCCGAACTACCTTTTCTGGTAATTCTAGGTTACCGA